AAAAGTTATCACAAAGTTACAATAAGTAGAACAGTGTAGTCCTGACATGAGAGTGACAACCAGATCAGTAGGAAGATGGTGCTAACACAAAATCATAGCAAATACATGGAATTAACATGATAAAGGGTGCGTGAAAAATCAACAGAATGACTAGACTATCCAGTGATTGGGTGTGGGGAAACTGATTAACTGCTTTGAAAAATCAACCTCTGTGTAAACCCAAATATTGTTGGTTTTCTCCTGTGTACTTTTTGCAATTTTTTTTTATAATCATGGAGAAAAGTTGTAAGTAATATTTCTAGGCTCTCCCACAGAAGCCCACCTAGGGAGGCGTTATAGCACTGAATAAAGTTCTAGAGGAGGTCTGACCTCTAGTTCCGATTCTGCCTCTATCCAGTTGTGTGAACTTGGATAAGTTATGTCATCATTGTGTCATTTTTCTTAATTTTAAGATGAGATCTTTGAATTTAATTTTCTCCAATTTCACATCCAAGTCTAAAATTTCATGTTCTGAGGTATAATAATATAGTAGTATTCAAGACAAATCTCACTACCATGAAGAACTACATCTCCCAAGGATAATAGAATGAAATCTGGAGTCAGAGTGCCTGGGCCCCAACCTTGGTTTTAACGCTAGCTGTGTATCTTAGGGAAGTTTTACATTCTCTCTCTCTGTTTCCTCAACCAAAAATAAATGGAGGGTCATGCCCTGGCTGCCGTGTTCCATGGTTAGAGCGTAGGCCAGTGATGGCGAACCTTTTGAGCTTGGCGTGTCAGCATTTTGAAAAACCCCAACTCAACTCTGTTGCCGTGTCACATATAGACATTTTTTGATATTTGCAACCATAGTAAAACAAACACTTATATTTTTGATATTTATTTTATATATTTAAATGCCATTTAACAAAGAAAATCAACCAAAAAAATGAGTTCGCGTGTCACCTCTGACACGCGTGTCATAGGTTCGCCATCACTGGCGTAGGCCAATGCATCAAAGGGTCTCAGGTTTGATTCCTGGTCAAGGGCATGTACCTTGGTTGCAGATTCGATCCTTGGCCCTGGTCGAGGCTCGTGGGAGGCAACCAATCATTGTGTCTCTCTCATCTCCCTCTCTCTCTCTCTCTCTCTCTCTCTCTCTCTCTCTCTCTCTCCCTCCCTCCTCCCTCAAAATATAAATGAATAAAAGTAAACTGAGAGTCATGATACTACATAGTAGGCTTGTTGTGAGAAATAAAGCAATACACATAAGTGCATAAAACGGGGCCTGGCATATACGTACTCAGTACATTGTTTTAAATTTTAGAGGCCAGGAAGATAATTCTACCACCACCTACCCATCCTCTCAAGCACAATGAAGTCAAGGCCTTCTTCTTGACTTTTTGAAGGAGATTCCAATCCACATTGGTAGGAGGTTATTCTGTGATTAGGAAAAAATGAAAAAAGTGCAGGTGATTCTGATCCTCTGGCCTTTTATTCCTAATCCTCAGGAGACACTCTCAGGGTCTCTGAGACAGAGTAGCCATTCCCAGGCTCTATAGCAGATGACTAATCTTGGGCTTAGCACATTCAAGACATAAAAATACAGAGGTAAAAAAATTATATTTCAATTTATTTGATAGTTAAATTTATTTTTTTATTTTTTATTAAGTTATTACATGTGTCCTTATCCCCACATTACCCCCCATCTCCCCCACTCATGCCCTCACCCCCCTGTTGTCTGTATCCATTGCTTACGCCTATATGCTAGCATATAAGTCCTTTGGTTAAATTTAGATGCATAGGGGATGGATTTGATTTTTTTGCTCAACGTATCAATATTTTCAGAAGTTTTTCCTTAATATAATTTGAGAAGTACTAGACAAAGTTTAAGTGCTTTTTAACACTTACACATTAAATTATCTGCTAGTACTTGATATTGGTAGTCAAATCAAAGTTGAATTCTTTTGAAGTATTAATTCATTTTCCAATTATGTTCTAATGATTTTTAAAAATATTAATAAATTGCTATGATCAATTCTTTTATATTTTCCAATTAGTCATAGGCCCTCTAAATTAGCTATTGTCATTTAGTTTTATCACTGCTTTATTTTGTTCACTTAGTACTTCAATAAGACGTTTCCTTTAAACAAGAATGTGTACTAAAAGTTTCCCCTAAATTCTAAAAAAGGAGCTAGTTACAAATCTTTCAGTAACTAACATATAGGTTAAAAGTTCCTCCATGTTAAGTCCTATCTTTGCTTTATTTCAACTGAAAGCAAAGTTCATATTCACCCATGGATGCTAATAATAGGTCTTATTTTTCTTTCATCCCTTACCAAGCATCTTCCATTTTTCCTGAAATACTCTGGCTGCTTTTAATATGTCGTCACCGCTGCTCAGAGTTGACAGTTTGGGTCATGGAATGGGTCGTGTTTTATAGAGAACATGTCCACAGCCATAGAAAACCTTGATCCAAGAGCAATGGGAAATAGTGGGGACCATGGTCTCTCTTATTATTGCCTGTACGGACCAGACTGGGTTAGTGGGAAATTAGGCTCATATATTTGATATAAGAAAGAGTAGACAGAGTTTTCTAAATCGATGTGGAAAATCCTAAATCAGGGGCAGCAGAAAGGGAAATGAAATTTTTATGGCTACTGGGATTCTGGCGAGGCTAGCAATTTCACAGATGATTTTGTATGTAACATGTTTTGAAGAAAAGGAAAAGGAAGTTTGGTGTACATATTGAACAACCCACCTATAGATGTTTTTCTCTTGCTCTCTCTAATTGTCAAATTGATAATTAAATTGATTGTTTTTACAGCATATCTCTTCATTTTCCCTAAATAAGTTTGGAAAGTCATTGATCATTAAACTTGGGTAAACAGGGGACGATTTTGATTGTTTTTACAGCACATCTCTTCATTTTCCCTAAATAAGTTTGGAAAGTGAAAATTTATTTGAAATAACAATAGAAACTTTGTGTTTTTTTTTTAATTTTTTTTTTAAATTTTATTATTTATTACAAAGGATATTACATATGTGTCCATTTTTTCCCCCCGCCCAAGACAGTCCCCTAGCCCCCCCCATCCCCCAGTGTCTTATGTCCATTGGTTATGCTTATATGCATGCATACAAGTCCTTTGGTTGATCTCTTACCCCCCTACCTCCCGCCCCCGAACCCTCCCCGGCCTTCCCGCTGCAGTTTGACACTCTGTTTGAGGCCGCTCTGCCTCTGTATCTATTATTGTTTAAAAGTTTATAATGGTCTCAATTATCCATGAGTAAGTGAGATCATGTGGTATTTTTCCTTCATTGACTGGCTTATTTCACTTAGCATAATGCTCTCCAGTTCCA